TTTTAAAATTCTTGACGTTTCCAAACAATTTAATTTTTAAATTTACTCACAAACTCACACACACATTTTCATTTTGAATCTCAAGCAACAACAATTTCGAACAATTTCAATTTTTTATTTTCACTTTTATATGATTTTAAAATGTTGGCAAACTTCAAAAAAAAATCATGGCCGACAAATTGAGAGATCGGTTCTACCTTGCTATGTTCTTATCATGTTATGAACGATAACGTGTGCTACAAATAAACTAAAATATAAATTGAAAGATTGTAGTTTTTGTAGGTTTATGAATCTATATTTGCTTATTTGACATAGGAATTGCCTTAGAGGGCAAATGTTGTTGTACTGAATATCAAGCCATGATTGGCGGCGCGCCGGACGGTAGGCAAAATGAAAACGATTGCGTCTTATAAGTATGTATGTACTTAGTTACTTAGTTCACTTATAAATGCTGCGTATACTGTAAAAAAGTGGCAAAAGTCCGAGAAAAATATAAAACACAACCTCGACCAGACATTCATTTTATAAAAAACGGCCAGAAGATTTTAGTTGCTTTTTTGACATTTGTAATTTTAAGCAATAAGTGCGGAAAATCGAAGGACCCTACGAAATTTCGAAAAATACAGAAATTGTGATAAAATCTGGAAAAGTCCCTAAAAAATTCTTAACTGTACCGCAAAAGATCCCAAAAACTGTTCAATTCTTAGAAAAGTTTCAAAATAATCTCAACACATTCTCTAAAGGTCCCGAAAAAGTCTCGAAGTGTTCCAAAAATTTCAAAAAAAAAATCCAGAAATTGCGGAAAATAATCCTAAAAGTTCCCGATAAATTCTTAACCGTCCGGAAGAACCCCAAGGAACTTTTAAAATTGAGAAAAAAAGAAAAAGTCCCTACATAATCACAACAAAAGCTCGGAAAGTCTCAAAAATATTGCGAAAAACCGTCGAAACTTTGTAAATCCTCCAAGGTTTGTGTTTTTTTGACCATACCTCTTCTGAGTATTCAATTCATTCCTAATTAATTATTCATTTTTGTATTAATTTCATAGCCCGTTTATGATATTTAACCATACGTACCACTGTGCTAGCTTCCAAAATATTAACAGAGCAGTCGGAAGTAAAAACTAAGTCAAGTACGCTGAAACAAGTGGCGCTGACGTTTTTCTGTTCATTTGTTTCTTATTTTCAATCGATTCAAATTCAAAAAATTCAGTAAAGCAATGCCTTCATGTGGTCTGATTGCCAATATACTTATTTGCATTTTAAATATCTCGAAAATCTTAGCTAACCCAGAAACATGATTTGACAGAAACACATTTTGCTAAATCTGAAAACATGAAGGAAGTGTAATTAAATGTTGCATAATGTTAGGCGCACTTGCTATTCTTTTTGAGATTTTTGGCGTTCACTCGACAGCTAATGCATGAAATAGAATGCACTTTTCACTGATGCTAGTGGTCTAACTTAACTTAAAGTATAGAAAATAAAAAAATTAGAGAGTTGCCACCTATTTAAAGATTGCAATTTAAGCAAATTGATAAGATAAAACAAATATTGCAATATGGCTGTCAAAAGAAAGAGGTTTAGAAAGACTTACAGCTGAACCTATTTTTGTGCAAGGTTGCCACCTGTTTGAAAATTTTAGTTTAATTTAATTGATAAGATATATTAAATATTGCAATATGGGTAGCAAACTAAAGAGACTAATAAATTTTACTGCCGAAAATTTGTTTGAGGGGGTTGCCATCTGTTTGAAAAATTGTATTCATTTCAATTGATAAAATATATGAGATATTACAATACGGGTATTAAACTAAAGATGTTTAGGAAAGTTTACCGTCGAAAATTGAAGACTTGAGTTATAAGATTATACGTAAATTAAATTTCCAGGAGAAAACCGACACATCACATCTTTCTAAATAACTCCGAAAATACATACATAAGCTAACACCCAAATTTATAAAAAAAAAAAATAATGCTTTATAAATCGAAAATTTTTTTGAAAGTCTCACTTCAAAAAGGTCTTCAAAGCTACTTAGTTATATTATTTTTTATTAATGAAGCCATAAGAGTCTTGGGAGGGAGTAACAACACAAAAATATTTTTAAGGCGCAGTGAGGCACGGCGGGTACTTGTTACTTCTTAATAATATTTCAACGGATTCATAAAACTGTTCTCAAAATAATCTATCAAGTTGCAAAATAAATAACAGAAACTTCCATAACGCACAAACAATTGTTATTTTATTGTTATTTTTTAGATTCGAATATCCGAATATCTATACACAATTCGGATATCCGTAATTCCACACACTTTTCGGATATTCGAATTATTTTACATATTCAGATATTCGAATATTCGGTTTATCCGCATAGTAAAAAAAAACTTCCAGCCCTGCTATATATAGATTTTCGTAAGACTGCTAATCCACAAAAATTCCTAAAGTTATTTAAGCTTTAAAAAACATGTTGATGTATATCCACATGCACTACTGACACATTTACGATTGCATTTTCAACGTTATATAAATTATAGCGAGCAAAATCATTAATTTTATCTTTTGGCATTTGCGAAACAATTATGAAAATTTAGCCGCAATTATAAACTCCTACCGCCAAAATTTATTTTAAATACTTAATAACAAAATTAGCCAATAAAAAGTTATTAAAATTTGCACGCTTCACAATTTTATGTCTACTAATACTAATGAAATGTTTGTTTTTGTTTTCCGTTTCTAATTTCGTGTGGTGTTCCATTCGACTAACCATCAACCAACCAACCAACCAACCCACCAACCAACAACCAACAACCAAATGACCATTTAAAACCAACGCAATCAACAACACCAATATTGCCGCTAACAACAACAACAACATTTGCTACTACTACTACCACCACAACCAAAACCGAACCATAAATGTGGCAATGTGTATTTTAAAATGCTAAATGTGCTACTAAAATCCTTTTCACCGCAAAACCGCCGCATTAATTTCACGTACACCAAAACAAAACAAAAACCCCAATCAAAACCGCAATAACACCAACAATTGGCGGCTGCACACAACAAACTACCATTTATTGCTATGCTACCTGCTGGCTGCTGGCTGTCCGTCGGGCCTGCCTGGCTATCTGCGTTGCTTGCGCGCTTTTATGCTTATCATGTTTTGCCAAAATGCTAACAACTACAATAACAACGTTTATAATGAATGATACGCTCACGCACAAAACACAAAACCAACGTCATATCCTGACACCCATATCTGCGTATATACATCGTCGGCTGTCCAACAATTTCATCCGTACTTTGAATATTTAATGTTCCCGTGAAATTTTGATTATAATGACGGCTGCTCTACGCCCGCCTCCATTGAATACCGTTTAATTGGTTTTTTTTTTTTTTAACTGGCTACGTGCATGCATCTGCTTGGCTGGCGGAAATGCCTGCGCCATTTTGATGAATGCTAACAACAACAACAATGCCTATGTATCAACTGCACATTCCCTCTGACGGAAATGCATAATTTGTTTTGTGTGTGCCACCACCAAACAAACATTCATCGTTCGCATCATTATTTTACCGCAATTCTGCATATGACTCACATTGCTACATTTGTATATACGTATGTATGTATGATGTTCATCAATCACAGAAACACAACTTGTTGAAATATCCAGTCGTATGCAAATTCTGGAATCTGGAGACTTATTAATGTCGAATGTACGTGAAACGGATGCTGGCCTATATACATGCGTGCGTTCAAATGAGGCGGGCACGGTCAATGGCGAGGCATACCTAAGCGTTTTGGGTAAGTATGGTGAAAATGGCAATTCAGCACGCTAACCGCCATGCAATTCACTTGCTTGTTTGCTTGTACATTTGTACTGTAATGGATTTTGTATTTGTATTTTGTGTTATATTAGTTTGGCGGTATAAACCAAAAGCCTGCATTTATGTATGTACTCCTGTTCCTGTTGCACGCCTAACAGTCTCCTTGGCTGCTTGTTGCGCTCTCTTATGCCGTATTTCCACTAGACCTTAAAATGACAAAAAATGTGTGCCATTTAAAAATTTAAATGCATAAAAGAGCTTAATGAGCATTTTTATAAAAGTAGCGGCAGAGTTTTTTTTATTGTAAAACTTTGCCATACAATTTTTTGTCATTTAAGGCAGGTTGGAAACCCGGCATTAATTTTAAGTTAAAAAGTGACCCTAACAGTTATATGTAATTTTTGCAATGGCATTAATTACTTTAAATTTTTGTCCTTCGATCTCATTTGATCAATATTTCATGATTATGTTTACGATCAAGGATAATCGATTAAAAAATAACAATTATTCCTCAACGTTTTTATTCAATGAAAGAGAAATCATCCACAGCAATTTCTTGCAATCTTTTTACAATAATTGTTTGAAAACTTACTAAGTGCTGGTGTTCACGGAAAATTATTGGAGAACATTATCAGAGACCATGTCAAGGAAACGCTCAATGGCGGATTAGGTGGGTGATTTTCGGGTTAAACCCCCTCGACTACGAAGTTTTCAAAAAAAAAAATTTTTTTTTTATAAAACGACCCTGAAGATTTTCGAATCGATCAGTGGAATATAGAAAGCAATTCTATAGCTATCTTCAACGCTCCCAGTATCAACTATCGACACTGCATATATTTCTATGCCATTTGTTGATGCGTTTTTTTCGCCCACATTTTCACAAATTTCGGGGAAATGAATTTTTGCATTTTTTTCATCTCTTGAAATTCCTGCATAGTATCTTCTGAAAATTTCGGAGCCTCGGATAAATCTTGCGTTTCTGATTGCAATTGCTTACTCAAAGGCAAAACGATGGTGTGCCCAAGAACTGGGATTTTTTGCTGCTGATTTGTCGTTTTTCCATGCTGCAATCACTTCAAAAGTTGCGAAAATTTCTGGCTGAAGTTCAATGTACGTCGATACTGCTTCGTGGCATTGAGATCATCTAGTTTAATTTGACACATAAATGGCAAGTGGAAAATCCAATTATATGTACGGTTGGGCTCCGTGGAATTCACCAGAATTCTCTGGAGCTTCATCATATCCTTCAAGATAANCCAGCAGTAAGCACTATATAATATAAGTAATTTTTAAGAAAAAAATAAAACCGACCACCTCTGAAGTACCACATTAAATCATTCGAGCTAGTTAGTTAATTAATCCAAGATATTGCTTAACAACATACACTGCGACCTGCAGATTCTAAAGAGAGTGCCCTACCCTTATACCCTTACTTATAGTTTATTGTGTAGTTTCTTTTTGATCGAATAATATGCTTTCTATTGAAAGGGTAGCCGATGAGCCTGGGCTGTATTTAGCTACTGATGCGGTCACCAGTACTTATAACGGACGTTTTATCCACTAACTAACTGAGTCATTAACCGCCCCAAAATTTTTCACAAATTTTTGAACCGCACCGAAAATCGAACCAGTTTATGTAAATGAACAATGCTCCTTTTGATGTCATTCTGTTAGAGAGAATCTGAATGTCCTCTTAGCTATATAAAGAGATAACTATAAAAGTGCCCTTTAAACCATTTTTACGGTTTAATTTGGCTCAGGTTAAGAATGCTAATACTTTATCGTGGAACACTGCGGGCTATCTATCCATTGGAGTTGTAAGTTTGGAACCAGGCTCATAAGTACCTGCACCTGCTCTGCCGCCTATCGGTTTCGTGATTTCCGCGTTCTAGAATTTTCACTTTCTGCCAAAGCACATCTCTTTAATTTTGTATCTTCCCAAGATTGCAAGCATGCAGAATCCTACACTATACAGGTGCTCGAAGAAATGCTTATTCAGAAATGCGCGTTTTCTTCGTAGTGCAAACCATTCTTACTTAAGTACTTAACGGACGTACCTCGTTTGTATTTTTACAACTTCAGCATTAATCCTTATACGTGGCTATGAATCTGACAGCCATGTGGGCAACAGGGCAGCGTTCCTGTTAGAAGCAATCGCTATACTTTTCATTTGTCCAGTTTAGTCCAGAAGCTATCAAGGCATACTCTGGACTTCTACACACCTTTCGAAAGCAACAAACCCTTTTCTCGCGCAATCGCCCGCTTCCTCGTTTCCTTAAATACCACTATGCTCAGGCACTCGGTAAAGGCTGACATTGTCTTAAGACATTTCAGGAATTTTCGGCATTTCCAAAATCATATTAAGTTACCGACCTAAGAGCCTAAGAACAAAAAAGTCGCGATTTAAGCGAAGGATCGATAAATGGAGATTACACAACTCAGAAACCGTTTCGTATCCAAGCCAAACTTGACAAGGACATTCGTACGAAAACACATCATCTTCTCACCATGGCCAAAGAATCAAATATCAGCAAATATCCTTAGGCGCTGAAAATTTTATTTCCCCAAATCCCATAGTGTGCTTTGAAATATCTCTTTTCCAATCAATTTAAATTTGTTTACTGAACTGTGCTGTCGGTCCACATCAGACATTGATTATGAAAACTAAAAACACCGAACTAATTTTAGTTTTACCCAAGGTCGATTTTTTATTTAAACGCAATCATTTTTTTTATTAAAACATGTGCATATGTCTTGTAATCTTGTCTTTCTGTTGCCATCAGCCAAATGCGAAATGGCATAAATCGTCTTTTAAGCCACCTGTCAGGCTGGCGGCAAATCAAATTTGCACAAACTCTATTAAACTTTCATAACTTCAAGCCGGTGGCAAATACTTTCACATGTAAACAGCTTACATTGGCATTGCAAAAGCGCAAGTAGAAACAAACATTTTACTTCCGCTCATCTCGCCAATGCAATCTGCTCGCATCTGTAGAGAAGTCAGANCCGTCCTATTGGGCCTCAATGCGACGCTGCAATGCAAAGTTTCCAGTGATCCCACCGTGCCGTACAATGTCGACTGGTATCGCGAAGGTCATCCGACAGCAATCAGTAACTCGCAACGTATCGGCGTACAATCGGATGGCACACTCGAGATTCAGGCGGTGCGTGCCTCTGATGTGGGCACCTACCAGTGTGTGGTGACATCGCCAGGCGGCAATGAGACGCGTTCGGCGCGTTTAAGTGTCATCGAGCTGCCATTCCCGCCGAGCAATGTGAAAGTTGTGCGCTTAGATGCACCCAACCAAAGAACCATCAACGCTTCATGGACGCCCGGCTTCGATGGCAATAGTCCAATACTTAAGTTTATTGTGCAGCGGCGTGAAGTCTCCGAACTAGGTAAGTGCATGAACATACTGCATAGCAGACAGTGAGTGTATGGACATTAGGGTGGTCCAAAAAAAAAGTAAGGTCAGGATTTTAATGGATTAGGATTATTAGGATTATTCTGTAGAAGTCGCTCAAAGCGCTCGAAATTTTCTATGGGCAACCCCATTTTTTGTGCAAATGGTATAGATAGAATTCTTGAAAATCATTTTTTTTTCGATCTAAAACTCTGTTTCTCTTTAGGAGACTTCCAATAAGAATACTAAATTGTTTATTTAACCATTTTTTAATAATAACTATTTTTGATAAGTCTCCCAAAATCTCCAAAAATTGAGATGGGGGGGGGGACTCATAAATAATCGTTAGTATTAAAAGATGGTAAAATAAATTGGGTTTTATTATTAAACGTCTCTTGAAGAGAATCAAAGTTTTCTTATTAAAAAATATTGATTTTACGGAATTCTATACCATTTCTTCAAAGAAGTGTTATTCCCCATATAAAATACCTGGAAAATTTGATGGGCTCTGAGGTAGTTCTAAATACACAAAAAATATGGGTATTTTTTCCATTTAGAAAAATCCTCTCTTTTTGACCACCCTAATGTACATACATACATATATGTGTATAAAAATATTTTTTAAGTATAGTGCAACGCAAAGCAGTTCATATTCGTATGGGTTGACTTATTTGTAAAGTGGACTGTGAGATGACCTTTATATGTATTTGGGGTGGAGGTTTACTCATACATACATGAGTATTAGGGTGGTCCTTGAAATATCAGTATGTAAATTTGTTATGGGACATTCCTTTATTTTGTTCTAATGCAAAATATAGACATCCACTAAAATTTCAAAATTTTAGACAACTTTTTAAGGGTCACTACAAGGTTTTGAAAAATATTTAATTTTTTTTTTGAAATCTGATAAATTTGACATATGTATTATTTATTGAAAACTATCAAAGTCAAAAGTTTTACGAATTTTTGCGGTTAAAAAAAGTTTAACCCTGGTAGTGACTCCAAATTTGTTTTTATTTTCAAATTTGAGACAATTTTTTAAGGGTCGCTACCAGGATTTGCAAAATATTTAATTTTTAAAGTCGCTAAAAGTCGACAAAATGTTTACCTGAAATCTGATAAATTTGACATATGTATTATTTATTGAAAATTATTCAAATTCAAAAGTTTTTCGAATTTTTGCGATTAAAAAAAGTTTAACCTTGGTAGCGACTCCAATTTTTTTGTTTTAATTTTCGTGGATGTATCAACATTAGATTAGAGTGGTCCAATTTTTGTATGCGAGGAAAAAAATTTCATCCTAGAAAGCGCCCTCTCAGTTTTTTTCCTTTTAATATTTGTGATATCTATACCAACTTTCAATTTTCTACTTTAACCAATACAGGGTGCTCAATGACCTCAAAAGCGCTACTGTATCGCTGTGGAACTGGCAAAAATATTGGTGATTTTTATAAAATGTTACTCTCAAAAAAAATTTGGACCACTCTAATGTACATACGTACACAAAATAAGGGGTGGGACGCCATTATGTTGATATTTTAAGGACCGCCTTAATGAGTATCAAGCATTTCATTTGAAGTGCGTAAAAAGGTTTGATTGATTTACATACATACATACAATAAGTACATACATTCATACATGAGGCCTTGCACAAACGAATTTCAAATAAAACTACATACAGTGGCGGTAAAAAAATGGATGAATGGTGTTTGGTTTTTAGTTTTTACAATTTTTTTCATGCTAAAATTTTGTTGATACTTTTTTATAAAAATGTGATCCATGCTTTAACTCTTTCGGCAGCACTGGTTTGGAATTTGAACAACATA